GAAGTTCAGATTACACCAGGTGGGTGTTGCTTGGATCTGGCTGCTGTGCTCCACTTCTTTCTGCTGCAGCCGTTAGACTTGAACCCTTTGTGTCTCTCTGGCAAGATGTTCTGCTCCTGAATCAGCTGGGTGGGTCTTGCCTCTAGCCTCTTTGCAGGGAGTTTCTGCTAAAGGGTTCCCTGCTGGGCCTGCAGCCTGGGTCAAATGAGGATCTAGCGGGCCGGGTCGTCTCACTCACCCGCCGGGCCTGCACTCTGGGTCTGTTCAGGATCCCTCAGGCCAGGTCGTCTCACTCACTCGCTGGGCCTGTGCTCTGGGTCTGTTCCGGATCCCGCCAGGCCCCGGGTCGTCTCACTCATGCTCCGGGCCTGCGCTCTCCTATAATTTCTTGACATAGTATTTCTGTGCAACTTCGCACTTCAGCCTAAATCTTCAAAAATAAAGTATAAATTGGCTCTCTATAGTACTTTTCAACCTGGAGTAATTTTTATCCCCAGGGAACCTTTAGAATATCTGTAGACGTTTCTGGCTGTGACAGGTTCAGGGTTGACGCTACTGTTGTGTTGGGGTGGGGACCAAGGAGGTCGCAGTGCCAGGAAAACCCCGCACAGTGCCGCCCTCGCTGGGCCAGCGCTGGGCTTGAGCCCGGGCCCTCGCGACTCGCAGCGTGCACTCACCGATGCTGGTCTTCCTCCCGGGTTTTATCTTCAGAAGCCAGTGCGTCCTGGTTTGCCCTTTGGCTTTGTTTTAAGAAGCTAGTCAAAGACTTTATTAAAATTTGATTAGTTCTGTAATACAGTTTTGTTTTGGTTTGGTTTGGTTTTTTGGCGGAACTGGGGATTGAACTCAGACCCTTGCATGTAGTGCAGTTTTTAAGGGGTTCAGTGATGAAGTACTTCATAATATTGCATTTCTGTTTTTCCTTACTTTTATGTTAAGAAACTATGATCTGCAAATGAGTTCTGACACATTTTCTCTTTTGTTAGGAAGGTGAAAGTGTATAGCACGACTTCCTACAAAGTAGTCCACAGTTTTGATTACACAGCTTCAATTTTGAGTCTTGCACTTGCGGTAAGTACTTTCAGTCCTTGTTAAAGTGTCACTAACCTTGTCTCTTTTCTCTTAAGTGAAAGTAAAGTGGAATTCTAGAGTTTATCTTTGGATTTAAATTAGCTGTTTGAATTAGGACAGTTGCTGGAGTGTTAAATGCATTTAACTCGAAGGTGTTACGCTCCTTAGGAAGGGCAGGCTGGCTCTGAACGCGCAAGCACGCGTGTGTGCACACACAGGTGGAGAGAGGCAGGAGAGACCCGGAATAGCTCCCTCATAGGGTGACCTTTTAGGGTCTGTGCTAGCATGTTTCACAGGGAGCCACTTGTGCAGGTGGATATTTGGATATGTTAGGTAGAAATTTGAATTGGGAGAGAAAACTAATCAAAAAACATTTTTGGGGAACAAGATTACTGTATAGCTCTTTTTTAATAAGAGAATTGAGAAAAATTATTCTGCAACATTCTCAAGAAGTCTTAAAAAAAGAAGAAGAAATCTTTAACTGTATATCATTACATAGATTTTGCCAGTGGTACTTTACGAGTATAATAACTTCTAGCATAATGGTATCCTAGAGGAAAAGAATGACTGCTGGTCTATGCAGAGTCAAAAATAATTTTGCGTAGGTCATTGTTAAGCAAGTGTATTTGAATGGAACTGTTGGTGATTGTGTGGATAGGGCATAAATGTCATTTTGAAGTAAAGATATTATGAGCTGTTGGTTAGGAAAAGACCTATTTTTTTTTAAATTGTTAGCATGAAGACGAGACAATAGTGGTTGGAATGACCAATGGAATTCTGAGTGTCAAACATCGGAAATCTGAAGCAAAGAAGGATTCTCTTCCGAGGAGAAGGAGGCCTGCTTACCGAACCTTTATTAAAGGAAAAAATTACTTGAAGCAACGGGTGTGTATTGTTTGTTTGTTTGTTTGTTTTTTTTTTTGCGGAACCAGGGATTGAACTCAGGCCCTTGCGCTTGCCAGGGAAGCGCTTATTCCACTGAGCTATCTCCCTGGCCCCGCTCATATATTTTTGAAAGGTGACATTTCTTAGAGTAGGCAGTCGTCTTTGCACATTACTGAGAAGTACAGTTCACATATTTAACTTTTATTTCTCTTTTTGGTACATCAAAATTGCCTTCAGGTTGCTAGAGTGAGGCCATTATTGAAGAATAATGGGGAATAAGGGCTACTTTATTACCCTGAATTATAGCATAAAAGTACAGTGCTTTACCACATTCAAAACAGTCTTTGACACAGTTTCTGATTTAATCTTCTAAACAACACTGCCAGTACAGTCTCCATTTGGTGCTTGAGAAGATTGAGATAGGAAGAAATTTTGGATGCTTTAAGATTTCATTTGGGATAGCCTCAGACTTTAAGACTAGATCTCAGTGTTTCTAATTCTAGTTTTATTTCTTTTTCTATTAAATTACACTGCATGCTATGGAAAAAGTTGAAATAAGTAAGTTTTGCTCAGCTTTCACACAGTTGTATATAAATCAAAAATCATAAGAGTCTGAAAGAACATTAATGTGGCAAACTATTCCATTTTCAGTTAATCTGGATTTTGGGCATATGAACATTGTGATGTAGTTCAGGGGCACCCTGAGATTTTTAAAATATCACTTCATTATGAGAAAATTTTTTTTGAATGGAACTTTGTAAATACTGATTTGCCTCTTCTGTAAATTTACTTCTCAATACAGGATGACATTTTGATCAACAAGCCAACAAAGAAACACCTAGAATTGTATGACAGGGATCTGAAAAATTTTAGGGTCTCTAAGGCCCTCGATAGAGTCCTCGAGGTGAGTGGAAAGCCATTCTGAAAGAAATGGGTTAGTGCTTGGCTCACACATTTCCATGACTTGGAACTGTGGCGATGTCGTGAGAGGCAGTGACGCTTTCCCTTATGCTGTTCTCTGCTTATGTTGACCTGGAAAACTTTTCTACTGTGCCATCTCCCCGGCCCTTGACCTGGAAAATTTTTCTAGCCTAGTTGTATAATAAAGACACCGGAAGTTACAGTTTCCATCATAAAGGAGCTGAATCGAAGAGGCGTCCTTGCTAATGCCCTTGCAGGCCGGGATGAGAAGGAAATTAGCCGTGTTCTTAATTTTTTGATAAGGTATGTTTTATGTTTGTGAAAGCTATACTTTGCATCTCAAGTTTGTGATCACCCAATGGTAGACATTTTTTTAGTTTGATTTTTGTCAAGAACTGGTGAGTTTACAAATTTCCAAATTTTTACTTTTGTAGGAATCTGTCTCAGCCAAGATTTGCACCTGTTTTGATTAATGCTGCTGAAATAATTATTGGTAAGTAACTGTTACAACTTGAAAAGCTAACATGCTTGTGAAAGTAGAGGTGACAGGCTGAGGGGTGTGGCTCAGCAGCAGGGCATCTGCCTGGCATGTGTGGACCTCAGGTTCAGTCCCCCCGTGTCACAGAAGTAGAGGTAGCAAATAATAAAACGGAATTGGAAATTAAGTATTAAAGTGTCTTTTCTTTTAATTCTGCAGTGAAGATTTTCATGAAGAAAACAGTAAATCAGTACAATTTAAAGGGAAGTAAGGGCAGGTGGGATAGCTCAGCAGACTGAATGCCTGCTTGTGCAAGCTCGGGAAACACGGTTCGATCCCTACCACCACATGCTGTGCCAGCCCTGCACCCAGGTGTGCTGAGCCGGCACCGAGTGTGGGCGTGGTGGCGCACGGCTGTAATCCCAGTGCTGGGAGGCTGAAAACAGGAGGATCACTGAGAGTCTGATCTGTGTAGTGAGACCCTGTACCTAATGCATTAAGAAGAAGAATAATAAAAAATTGAAGAGTAAAATGGTTACAGTGGCCTAACTTAAAAGACTAGCATTATTATTATTATTATTATTTTTTTTTTTTTTTCAGTATTGGGGCTCAAACTTGGGACATTGTACTTGCCAGGAGGGCACTAATGCTGCTGAGCTATCTTCCCTGCTCTCTAGCATTATAAAAATTTTTTTGAAATTCCCATTAATATCTATAATAACCAATAGTTTTTTTAATGGAAAAATTAATATAAGATCTTCTGTCTTTTAGTTTCTGTATTATTCTTTTTGAAATGCATGTATTTGGGAGACTTGTTATGTTTTCTATTAATCATTAAATAAATATAGATGTTGAATGTCTATATTTAACATTTTTTATTTTTAATAATTTTATTGAGAAAAAAATAGCAATGAGACAGTTTCAAAACCAATTACTAGCTGTATTTAACATTTGTGTACTTTTCTGGCTATTGTTTTTCACTTACTGCATACATGTCTAGCTCTCATATTTTCTCTTTTTAGATATTTATCTCCCTGTGATTGGTCAGTCACCTGTAGTGGATAAAAAGTTTTTAGTCCTTCAGGGACTTGTAGAAAAAGAGATTGATTATCAGAGAGAACTCCTGGAAACCTTGGGGATGATGGACATGCTTTTTGCTACCATGACACGGAAAGAAAGCACTTCTGTTGTGGAACAGAGACCTGCTGAATTTCTAGAGAAGAAGATAGAATCATCATAGTACCTGCTCAATAAGACAAAACTTTCTAGTTTAGAATAGACTTGACAATTAATTATTGGAAAGAAACTCTCTTGGATACATTTTAAATGCTGTCACAGAAGCGGTTTTATAGGAGAGATTGGGATGACTATGAACAATGAGTACCTGGTTTAGCACATGGCTTTCCATGTAAGTGAGGCATCATGTGCGGCCCTCAGCTGAGAAACGTCCTTATCATGGTGCCAGTGTCTGCCTGCCTCGGATGAATTGACGTTGGTCCTAGCCCAGCATGGCTCTGTATCAGCAGCTGGGTAGCGTTTGGGCGGGGGTTTAGGTAGGAGGCCTCTGGAGAGGGCTCCACCTGGGCCCCCCGCCAGAGCAGCGCCTGTTGGGGTTTTGGTTTTGCTATTTCTAGCATAGAAAACAGCAAAAACATGACAACAAGAAGACTTTCAGGCACTGTTGGGGTTCCCAAGCTCCTGTTCGCTGGTCACCCTTCCTGCTGGCGTTGCACAGGTGGACCCTGTGCCCTGCTTCAGCTGGTGGGGCCTGCGTTCCACGTGTGGCTCCTCAGCTGCTCCGCTCTATGTCCCTGGTGCTGGCCAGGTATTGGGATGTAAGGCAGATTGGGCGCCTGTGAGGCGTGCGCTCCATTCCAGGTTTTCCTTCCTTTTCCTTTGTCTTGACCTCTCCTTATCAGGGCATGGTCTACAGATAGACCTAATTGGATCATTCTGTTCCCTTGCTTTCTGTATGCACCCTTTTTACTAAGTTTTTCCCAGGTTACAACTGATAAAGACTTGCCATTTCTCTAGTACATACCTTTTTTCAGTCTAGTGCACATATATTTGGAGCTCATAGCTACCTAATCTGAAAAACCACTTTCTCTGATCCATATGTAGATTTTTTTTTTTTTTTTTTCTCTTCAGTTCTTAGTAATTCTCTTGTGCAGAACCACAAGAGAAAGTTGTGTTTTGGAAAGTTCAGTGTGAATCATAGTTTTGATAAAGGTTCTTATTTTCATCTGTGCTTTCTGAGATGTATCAGTTCCTGATGGACTGTCAGTGGCTGCTGGCCCCTCGCACACTGATGCCATGGTTGCTCTTTTACCCCCATCTCACTTAGCAGTGTGTGTAGTACTGTAATAATGTGTACAGATCGACCCTTAGAGGAAGAACTTAATAATGGAAATCTCACCTAATTTCAGTTTTATAAATTCAGATTTTCGTGAGGCAGAAGGAAGTGAATTACATGTTCTGGTAAGGCCATGTGGTCATGCGTAGGGGATAGTTTTCCTCTATGATGCGATAAAAGCAATCATGCAGCAGAGCAGCTTGCAGAAACCAGGAGTTGCTTTCCTCAGTAATGAGATGAGTCACGTTAGAAGCTGTATTTTGGGGTTGGGAAGAGATAATTTATTTTACAGTTGTTCATTTAAGAACTTTTTTAAAGGAATTGACTTTGTAAGTATGCTTATACTTTGTATACTAGTAAAAATGAGAAATTGAAACTTTAGCTAAAACTGTAGCTGCTGTCAGTTGTGTAATGTCAGAGTTTCTCCTACATTACAGTAGGCCCTTGAATTATGACCGACCTGAACTAGGAACAGCTTGGATTATGACAGGAATTTAGTTTTAACTTAAGACCAGGGTTTTGAGGTGTGACCCGAATGCTGGCCCCCTGTGCTTCCAGATGGTCTCCGATACAGCTTTAAGCCTTAAGGTGTCCTGGAAGGAACATTACAGCATCCTTTCCTGTATGGGCTTAGCTGGGAAATCCTGGGCCGGTGTCTCTAAGGACACTGAGATCCGCCGGTACACAGCAGGAAGATAGGTAGCCTGAATTACAGCCAGCCCTCCAGAAGGCACTGAGCACATTAACTCAAGGGTTCGTTGTATTTCACTCCATTCTTACCATAGTCGTCTAGGGTTGGAATAATTGTTAACCTAGAAGAAATTAAAGCAGTTAAGTTCTCACTGGAACCCCCGAGCTGGAGTTCTCCTTCCAGCATTGGTCCTGCCTCCTAGGGCCTAAACTACTCATTTCTTTTAACTAAATCTCTTAAGGTTCTGCAGTTCTTAAATGAAATAGGTAGTGATTACAATTTTTTTTTTTTTTAAGTTTAGGAGACAGTTCCTATAATCAGTATCTTTGTGTTCAGAGTAGTCTTTATACTCCTTGAGTCTAGTATTGGTTATTTGAAGTACCTTAATTGATTATATAT